TGAAAGTCTGACCCACAGGTTAAGAACCCAACCTGAGCTCCAGTACTCCTCACACTCCCATTTATTTTTTTATTTAAATTTTGTTTAATTAATACACATAAACATAAAACTTTACAGAGTCATGGGGTACCATGTGATATTGTGTCACACATATATGTGTCATTTCTTTAAATGAAAACATTCAAATCTTTTCTTATGGCTTTTTGAAATTCCCAGTACATTGTTATTATCTACAATTACCCATTAGCACTCAAAAACTTCTACTCCCATCTAACTATAGCTTAGTATCCATTAACCAGCTTTCATCTTCTCCTGCTCCCAGTACTCTGTTACCTGGAGAAGGAATTACAGGTGGGGAATCATGAGAGGCTCTTGAGGAAGGCCAATGAGCAAGTTGGTGCAAAAGTATTGACTAGAGTAGTGGGCTGTGTGCTATTCTGTGACAGTGTAATAGTACACTGTGCAGGAAAAAATTAAGTTAAAAATGTACTTTTGCCTCACTCCCAATTTCTAGCAATTTATCATCTTTATTTTAAAATCGTAAGCCCTGCTCCTGAAATGTCAACTTTTAGTCCACTTAATTTTTTGAACCTGGTCTACACAGATGGCAGCAGAAATGGAGACATACATGATGTCAATATATATTTTAGATAGGAGGACTCTTCATGGATTGTATGGGATAGAGAATGATAGAGAAGATGCAATCAAACTTTGAAAGTATTAATAGCTTTGTACAAGAATTACATGTATCGTTCCACTATCTCCATGTTCCCATTTTTCCTCTCTACTTCTCTGCAGTCTCTTCTTCTCCTTGTACTTTGGACTTGCCTTCCTCTAATGACAATGACTATATGGTGAATCACCTGCAGTGCGGCCTGAGGAAGAGTTCAGGGTAGTGTCGAACAGAGAGCTACCCTCAGAGGCTAGGAAATGTCACACAGTGAGGAATGGCTAAGCACATGTGTTCTATCAGTGCAGAAATCATCTGTATTTTTGTTATTTCTGCAGTACTGGGGATTAAAACCATGGGTGCTCCACCACTGAAAAATTTCCGCAGCCCATTATTTTGTTTTGTTATGGGGACAGAGCCTCATCAAGTTTCCCAGGTTGGCCTTGAAGTTGTGATCCTCCTGCTTCATCAGTGCAGAAATATTTGCTAGTTTCAGAGGGTGGACTGAATGAAGGCAGTTCAGGACTTAACTGATCCTCAGAAATGGGCTCTACTTCTAGAAATTTGCAGATAGAGATTAGATAGATTTTCATTCTCCACCTACAGGGATTTATCTGACAGATAAAATGTCTGACTTAATTCTATAGCTTTATAATTTCAATGTTAATAATTTCCTGAATAGTGCATTCTACCATGTCTCCAAACAATTCTTTTTAAAAAACTTTATTAGTACTTTATAGTCATATACACTAACAGGGTCCATTTTGACATATTTATAAATGCATATAACAAATTTTTCTCCTTTCCAATCCACAGTACTGTCCTCTTCCCTCCCCCAACCTTCCAGCCCTTTTTCTACAATATTCATCTTCCATTTATTTATCATTTTTAAAATGATACATTATAGTTATGCATAAAAGTGGAACTTATTGAGTATGTATTCATGCATCCACAGAGCATAATTTAGTCAATTTCATCCAGCAGTTTCTTCCCTTTCCCATTCTTCCTCCCTTTCCCCATCTGCCCCCTTACTTGTTATCTAAGAAGTTCAAGTATTTCCATTACTGATTTTCAAGTGGGTAAAAGACAAAGACATAAATAATACTTCAGAACTTCTAACCTAGTTTATTCTAAAATATTATTGTGATAAAACAAAATACAGACCTATCAAACATAGTATATTTATTACTTGGCCTTTCATGCAATCTTGTAATATATTTCAATTTAAATAAGAAATCCCCCAAATATAATACTTCTTTTGAAAAAAATACAGGCATACAAAAGACAAAATTAACTACAGAAACAAATCAAAGACTAATAAATTGACACATTATTTTCTGACACAAATTCATGCCATTTAAGTTCAAGTAAGCATTTAACTTTCCATCCCAGTACATGTAATTTTATGTCTATTTAATATACAATATAATTACTGTTCACTAAATCTTTCATGAGTATTGGGCATTGCTAAATTTTACACATATTTTGTAAAATTCTCTCATGTTCAAAGTTGATTCAAATCTCAAACTCAACCCACTGAATGAAGATTGTTCAACACTATTCAAAAGAATTCATCCACAATATTGATTATTTCCTTTGCTGAGAAGGAACTTTTCATTTTGAATCCATCCCATTTATTGATTCTTGAATTCACTTCATGTGCTTTAGGAATCTTATTCAGGAAGTCAGTTCCTGTGCCGATATGTTGAAGTGATCAACAAATATATGAAAAAAATGTTCAACATCTCTAACAATTAAAGAAATTTAAATTAAAACTACACTGAGATTCCATCTTGCTCTAGTCAGAATGGCAATTATAAAGAACACAATTAACAATAAATGTTGGCGAGAAGGTGGAGAAAGGGAACATTCATACATTGTTGGTAGGACAGCAAATTGGTGCAACCTTTCTGAAAAGAAGTATGGAGAGTCCTCAAAAAAAAATAGAAATGGAACCACCTTTTGATCCAGCTATCCCATTCCTCAATATATCCAAAGGAGTTAAAATCAGTATACCACAGAGGCACAGCCACATCAATGTTTATAGCAGCTCAACTCACAGTAGTTAAAACTGTGGAAGCAACCTAGATGCTCTACAATAAATGAATGGATAAAGAAACTCTGTGGTATATATACACAATGGAATATTTCGCATACTTAATGAAGAATGAAATGATCCACAATATGAATTTTCACATGACAATATTTCTAATGCTGTGAAATATGCCCCAAAATCCTAATTAAAACTCTAAATTAAGGTAGACACCATCAGAAAACCCCACATTGAGCAACCAGTTAGGAATGTTCTTGGTTAGAAAACAATATTTTATCTATATTCTCTAAGTAGTCTTAAGTCATGTTTCAGGACTCATGGATCTATGAAGTTCTGAAATTATGTTCACAATTTTGATGATATAATGTTTATGAAAATAAACATTAGCTTTTAACAAATTATCAAAAGGATCCCTAATCTCAACAGGCTTGCAAGTACTTCACCAGCCAAGATGTTGCACATCTGTCAACCCTGGCTTCTTGTTTTCATGATTTTAGACAAAGTGACTTGAAAGTCAGATTCTACGTTTAACTTTCTCTGGCTTTCTAAGCAAAACTGGATGATCTACATCTCAGCTAGGATAGCTCCATTCATTGCACTGAATATCTTGGAGTAGTTTTTCCAAAACTGAAATATTGATTACTTAGTTTCTTCTTTACTGCTGTCTTTACTTCTTGGTTTCTCAAAGTATAGATTAGTGGATTCAGAAAGGGAGTAAAGATGGTATAGAAAACAGACAAAATTTTGTCCACCAGGAAATTTGTGAAAGGCCACACATAAATGAAGATGCAAGGCCCAAAGAACATGAATACCACTATGAAATGTGCAGTGCAGGTAGAAAGAGCCTTAGATGAGCCTGTGGAGGAATGGTCCCTGATAGTGACAAGAACAATGATGTATGAAGTGAGCAAAAGCAGAAAACTTATAAGAGCAATAACACCACTGGTTGAGATCATGAAGATCCCAAGAACATATATGTCTATACAAGCCAGCTGGATGACCAAAGGAAGGTCACAGAAGAAACTATCTATCACATTGGGACCACAGAAGGGTAAATAGAGAGTAAAAGCCAACTGGCTCATCGTATGCAGGAAGCCCACTGTCCAAGAAGTTACAACAAGCCCAACACATACTCTTGGGCTCATAATTGTTGAATAATGGAGAGGTTTACATATGGCGATGTACCTGTCAAAAGACATGGAGATCAGCAGCACAATCTCTGTCCCAGTGAAAAGATGCAAAAAAAAGATCTGAGAAATGCAACCCTCAAAGGATATGGTCTTGCGCTGAGCAAAGAAATCCATAATCATCTTTGGCGTGGCAAAGGAGGACAGGCACATGTCAATGAGAGAGAGGTTGCTGAGCAGGAAGTACATGGGCAAGTGAAGGTTTGAGGTGGATAGGACAGTGAGCAAAATAAGGCAGTTGCCAAACATAGTCATTAAATAGAAGATGGAAAAAACTACGAAGAAGAATATCTGAAGCTCAGAAGAATCAGTCAGTCCAAGTAACACGAATTCAGATACTCTGGAATGGTTAAAACCCTCCATTGTTCTGCAGATACTGCTCTGTAATCTTAAAAAGAACAAAATTAAAGCTAGAAAAACATGATATGTCTACAGCTACATGTGACAAACTTATGATGTCATTTGATAGTTCTCTAGCACACTGATTATCTAAAATCTATGTAAAAACCTTAGACATCATTACTCTAAATACATGTATGAAGACATGAATGGTGTGAAAATACTTTGTGTACACCCAGTGACTTGAAAAATTGTGCTCTATATGTGTAATATGAGATGAATTGCATTATGCCATCCTGTATAACAAATTAGAATAAATAAATAATTTAATAAAGAAAAAAAATTTTCAAAGTAAAGAGTTTCTTTCTTGGAAGCACTGATCAATTACTACTAGATAACACCTGAGAAGCACAAACTCTCATTTATAGCCAGCACTCGTATACATTGGGGTACATTCATACACCCCCACACACTAACACTTGTCTGAATACACCTAGGAAGCTGCATAAATCATATTTACAGATTATGTTAAGTTTTTAGACTGTGCTGAGTGAGACACATAAGTAAAAATAATGACTGAAACTCCAATGGTTTCTCTTACTTCACAAAAATGCAATTATATCAAGTCAATCATTGATGAACACTAGATTTAATTAACATATTAATATAATGATTAGAGAAGATCCACTTTATATCATTATGAGGGTGACAAATTATTTACCTTTTACTTTTTAAATCTATGAAACAACTGACAACCAAGGGGCATGCCTATAATATATGTGAATTATTTTTAGATTTTATTATTTTGTAACCTCAGAAACTTTTATTTTTTTAAGAGACTATTTGATTCTCTTCATGTTACTCAAATGAAGCTATTGTTTTAAAGTGAGGATGGTGAGCTACTATAAAAATTCAGAATAACTTTCCAAAATTCCTTTTCTCATTTACTGTACTTCCCAAGTTCTATAATTTTATTTCCAAGATGATGTCACTGTCTACCAAAGAGTCAAAAGTGTGGTACAATACAAAACAAAATTGGTCGTGGTAAATAAACACCAATTTTGTCACCAAAGAGGGTTTATCCTTCCAGCACCTAGTAAAATTTAAGCCTTTGATTATGGAAAACTCAGATGAGTTTTCTAAAAGTTTTCGGGTCATTGGAAAATTTTGTCACATTAAAATTAATGGAATAGAAATATCTAATATTGTTTCAATTCAGGTCTTTATAAAAAATGTTTACCTTTAAAATCACTTTTTTCAGTTAAATTGCTATTTTCACATGTATTACTTAGTTCCTTTGTTACATTAGATAATTTAAGAATTCTCACTGTACATATGAATATTTCATCTAGTTTGATAATAATTTCAATATTAATCGAAGTTATTATATATAATTCTGTTATTAATTTTTTCTTTTAAATTGTTATTTTAGATTTTATTTTATATTAATGTTTTCTAAGTTCATCAAAAAATATTAAAATTTAAATATATCAGTGAAATAGGATGAAACAATGCCAACATATGTTAAACGTCAGTATGCTAATATTCAAGTTACAATTGATATTAAATGAGAAGAAAAGAATGAAGTCATTGTCATAAATTTAAAGAATGAACAGATGGAAAATAATCAATAAATGAGCTATTTGACTTTCATTTCTTTCACTTCCCTTTCATTAATTTATCCCCAATGATCACTAAAAAACTGCTTAAAATAAATAGTAAGTAAAAATTAAAACCCACATTAGAAAAATTTGGGACTACTGGCTGCTAAAATTTCCTAAAATTTTAAACCAACAGATGTATAACTTTAACTGTGTGACAGTATTAATGCATCAATTTGATGAAAGAATAAGTTTTATTATTAAGTCATCTCTTTTCTCTAAATTAATAGACTACCTAATAAAATTTCCAGATCTGCTGGATATTTTCAGTTAAAAAAGATGAAATGGTTTCTAGCTTAGAGTAAATTTTAGTTGATTTGTAGTAAAATCTGAAACAAATATTTCAAAACAATTTTGGCTTCTATTTGCATGATTAACACAAAGTTTTCATTGGTTCCACATTCTAACATTAGAGTAGAAATGTCGTAACTATTCTGTTGCAGAAAATTCCACAGTCCTGTTAGAATTGGAAAAGGGATTAACAACTTGGATTCAATTTTTAAAAGTTGATGTGCAGAAGGAAACTTACTGGAAATGAATTATACTTTCCATATTATAATCTACCTCACTACTCCATTCTATTCGGTGTTCACTCAACACATGAAGTTTAGCTATTACCTTTAGTAATATTTTTTATTTAAGTGAATTCACGTTTTCCATGTAGAAGAAAATCTAGTTACATATTCATTTATTATACATATTCAAAGTGCTTTTTCAATATTAAAAATACTTTCAAAATTTATCAGAGAGAATTATTCTGAAATTCTTAAAGTGGAACTATTGTCCAGTGGTGAAAAAATGCTTAAGGTACATATAGCCTCTTATGATAGTTAAATTAAATGGTCTATATAAAGTTATATGCATATTTCCTGAGCAATGTTCAAGAAACTTCCTAGGTTTCAAAAATATGAATTTAAGAATATTGTTCAGAAATAATAATCTCCTTTTATTAAAAATAATACTACATGCAATAAAATATTCTAACCTAGTTTCGATTCATGAATTTAGAGAAAGACTGTGCTCCCCAAATAATTTCTCTTTTCAAAATAAATTATTTCTTTTAATATGAAAATCATGTTTGTTTTATATTAACTGAAGTTCTCAGTTTTACACATTTGACATATTTTCCTGTTTTGATGAAATAATTTAATTGTTTATGGAAACTACTCTTACACCATTGTAAGTGAATAAGCAGTTTTAAGGTTTGTTTTCTTCTCCTTTTCTTCTACAGAAAGGCAGCTTTGATCACTATGTTACCAAGCCATCCTTTTGTCTTCAAGTTATACACACTTTTTCTTTACTGCTCTACTATTATTGTTACTTTATATAATTATCATATAAATGCCAATTTTTTGATACCTGAAGAAAAGAAGCCACAACTGCTTCTCAGGATCCTTAGTATTATATCCAGCTTTTAACCTACCAGCTGTGCAGCCAGAATCAAAAACACCACATCCTCTAAGATTCACAAGTCTCTGGAAATCACCATGGTCTTTAGTAAGCATCGGAAGCATGGACTCTGGACATATATCCTCTCCTGTCTTGACATAAAAGCCTTTGGAAGGCAGTGACATAGAGGAGATTAGGGATTAGATACTAGAATCTGCTTGCAGTGGGAGTTATTAAAATGTTGAACTAGCTTTTCTTAGAGTCACAAAATGAACTCTGAATGTCTTTGCTATTTAAAGCAAAGGTCCATGCCCACATTGAAGCAGTATTCATTAGAGAAAAGAGGACAACTGGGACTGACCTAGAAGAAATGTAGGCAATCACTTTAAAAGCATTATTGGGGGCAAAATTTACATTCTCATATTTATGCTCCAGAGTTAGAAATTATAGAATGCCACAATTGGAAATTATTCTTTTAGGCTATGGCAATTTGCTCCCGGCAAATACTGGCTTACTTGAAGTGTTATGTATTAAAGGAAGCAAAATGCATTAAAGATTCTGACAAGGCATTTAAAAATTAGCACAAGGGAATAAGTATACTGATAGCTGTCTGTATGTAAAGATGAGGTCTAGAAAAGGGGATATTGTAAAATACAAATCTACTAGAAGTGAAGGCAGGTGCTATGCAAGTATCTTAGAGGATATAAAAATTAAATGATAAAAATAAATGTGATACAGTCAGCATAATGCCTAACACAAAGAAAGTATTCAGTAAAATATACTAGGAGAAGGAATACTATAAATGATTATTATCTTAACCTTACTGTTTCAAGTGCCCATGATATATCATCCAGGAATATGCTTGATATGGACTCACAACCTGAAACCATAAACTGAAAGCCTGCCATGGTTACTTGCAGGCTAACCATTCATCTGTGGCTTGCCCTCTAAACACAATCTTCTTTCTAAATAATCACCTGCCCAATATTTCCTACAGGTCTGGCAATATAGCCCAAGAAAATCTTCCCTAGCTAACCGCCTATCTAGCAACAGTCTTTGAAATAAGAAAACAAGCAAATTGGGTTTTCAAGTTTTTCTTTGATAAAAAGGCTTTTAAAATAAAAACCTAACAATAGTTACAAAGATCCAGTAAACATGAAATGTTTGTCCTACTGTAAAATAAAAGGTAGTTGTGTATAATTGTCACTAAAGGAAAAGGTATATAAAATTATTATTTGAATAATTATGGGAAAAGTTAAGAGAATTAACAAAACAATAGCAATAAAAGATAACATGAAGGACAATATGGAACTATATCTTGGCTGTGGTAGGGACTACATGAATCTACATAAGTGTTTAAATTAAAAGTCTGCATACCAAAATAAAAAAAAAGATCAAATTTCACTTTAAAATACTTTATAAAGCAGATTTTTAAACATTTTTATTTATTTATTTTTAGCATTCATGTCAGTAGATGCATTTTAATATATAATACATACATGGAATGTACATACATCAATCATATTGTCTATTCTATTCTGCTGCCCTTCCTATCCTCCCTACTCCTCCCCTCCTCTCCCATCCTTTCTCTCTATCCAATCTAATGTGACACACTATTTTTTCTTTTACTCATTACAACATCATATATGTATTCTGTATAACAATGAGGTTCTCTTCCCATCTTCAGTGAAACTCCCCTTCTCCCTCTTTTTCCCTCCCACCTCTCTTCCCTATTTAGTGGTAGTCTTCTTCTCATGCTCTTCCTCCCTATCCCATTTTGAGTCACCCCCATTATATCAGAGAAGACATTCGGCATTTGATTTTTAGGGATTGGCTAACTTCAGTTAGCATAATCTGCTATAATGCCATCCATTTGCCTGCAAATGCCATGATTTTATTATTTTTTAGTGCTGAGTAATATTCCATTGTGTATAAATATCCCATTGATCTATTGAAGGGCATATAGGTTAGTTCCACATTCTA